AGCTACAGCATGCAGGTTGACCAACGTGATCACCGAGAAGTGTATGGCTGGCAATATGAAATTACCGATCAGAATTTCGTCGGTAAGAGTACCAAAAGCTGCGAGCTCAGCCATCGGCAGCCGAATTCACGGGGAAGGGTTGGGGACTGTGAATTTACCAACGAAGTCTTTGTCGGTAAATTCACCGAGATGAATCCTGTTGCAGATTGAATTAGTTACAGGTGTGATCTTTGTCGCTGATTTGTTTATTGGTCTGCTTGTGGCCGAAGTGTACTTTGCAGCATATTACCGACGAAGGGCATGTGTGTATCGTGCAAATTTATCGAGAAAAATTTTGTCTGTACCTTAAATAATATAAATTACTCTTATTTTTATTGTTTCTTTATTTGCAGACGTTTGTCTTGTCGGTAAGGGAATAGTTTATCGAGAAAACTTCTCATGTCGGTGATTATGGGTCGATAATTTTGAGTTTTCTAATAGTGCCTGTCATAAATTTAGTGCAATTAGATATATAAAATTATTTAAGTGATTAAACCATTCAAAATCAAAATAACCGATAAAAGAATCAATGAATCTTGTAAGCCGTCCCATTCAATAATTAAACAAAATTTTGTTATAAAATGTCAACAAGAGGTTCAACCTCACCACCTCCAATGGTACAAAAGCTTCGACTACCGCGCCTGTGGCGCTACAACGGATACAAATTGCATTAAATTACTTCTATTATCAAACTATATATAAGTTGTTAAATGAAAACAAAGCTTACACGTCACCACCTCAAATGGCACAAAAGCTTTAACCGCCATCTCGGTGGCATTACAATCGATACAAATTGCATTAAATCACTTTTATTATTAAATTATGCTCAAGATATTAAATAAAAATAAAGCTTGCATCGTTATTATTTGAACACAAATCATTTGAAAAGTTAATTAAAAAAAAAAAAACACTCTTATCACTAGACTAATATGGTGGCTAACAAAACGTGGATTACGTAAATAAATATATATATATATATTAGTTAAATAATTGACTAACGTGTAACTAGTTGAACCATCAAAATCAA